ACAGTCAAAAACACTGGACAACTGAAAACAAGTTTCTGCTGTACTCTGAATTTGCCAAGTTCTTTGTTTATAACCACAAAGCTGCGGGATACGAATCGAGAATGGATTTATGGCAGAAAGTGATAGATCTTACGGTTTCGTTTGAATTTCTTGACGAGACATCCTGTAAGTTGAAAGTACAAAAGAAACATGAGAGGAGAAAGGAAGAAGCTTACAACAAACTGTTGGGTTTTTACAAAAGCAACAGTCTCACACTAGGAATTCTTCACTTGCAGAACTTCAATTTTAAAGAAGCTGCAACGGTTTTGGAGGAGCTGAAAGAGGTCGATCGAGAAAACTTTGATATCACACGATACCTTGCACTGACGTACATGAAGATGGGCAGGGAACGAGAGCTACAGGTTTTGTATCTAGATCACAAGCCTGAAGAAGTAAAAGAGGTATTTGACAAAGCTCACGAAAACGCTATCCAGGCAATGATGGCGGGTCTGTGCCAAACGGAAGGTAGAAAGCTTAGGGCGGACACGGCTTTAGCGATCGCACACAACCAGCTCCTGTTGATTGGTCTTGGCAGTCGTGCCAAGACAGCTCTTGAACAAGGGGCTCAAGGTCAGCAGATTCCCTTGCCGTCCTCTCAGCAAGAGATGGAGGGTCAGAATGCCACAACACTGGATCAAGACACTCAGCACACAATGTCGACACCTACAACCATACAGCTAGACTCTCTGTGTATCCGGTCATACAGGGAGGCTGTCAGGTGCGGAAGTCTCCTTGCTAGCCTGGAGTTACTCAGATTGATACAAAACAACATTGTTCATGTAACTTCAAGGTGGACCTTCCTCCAGGTAGGTCTTTGATTATGCTTTCTTTTTTAAATTTAAGCTTCTTATTTTGTTTTAGAAGTGTGTTACAAATCTTCACTAAAGTGTTTGAAATCTGTCATCTTTATTTGACTTTCCAGTCGCTACGTCTTTTTTGTAATTTAATGCAGATGCTTGCAGAAATCGACGTGTGTTGCTCGCTGAGAAGCAGTGATTGTCTACATAAAGACCAGAAACCCCTCACCTTCAAACACGGTCTTAGCAGCCGCGATACAGACAAAGATGCATCAGCGCTGAACTGTAAAACCATCAAGCGTGACGACAGGGCAATCCTAGATGGGAGCCCGTTCTTCAGGCAGGCTTGGGAACAGCACTTCAGCATGGAGAAAAAAATATTGAAACACAGGTTTGAAAATAATGAAGGGGAACTTGAGCTGGACGGCAGGGAAGAGTTGGAGGAGATAACCTCGTCGGATGAAATCATCCGCGCCGCTACCGATTGTTGTCTGAAACTACGTCCTCTTTTGGACGGTATTGTGGACAAATTCGGGGTAAATATTTTGTATAGAATGATGCAAGAGTTAGTATGTTAGTATATGAAATTAGTCTCAAGTTTACCTGTTACTGGTGGTGGACGTCAATATAGTTGAAAAGGAACAAATATTGGCCAAATACGGGATACAATTCCGTGGCTAATAATTTTGTTACAATAAGCGATTTCAAAAAAGCAAGGTCCTTTTCCGCACAAGGCAGCGCGAATAAGCGGATGTTGTATGCGTGTATCAATGTCAGTTGATGCACTTAATTTGGGCATAAGCTGTCCAGGAATACCTAACTGGCTCGTTAATTAAAATCCCAGGACAACTACCTTAGTGGATCAGTGTTTCTTGTCTGCTTCCTTATACAGACAGAGGAACTCGGTATCGCAGAGGAAACGAAGAACCAGTATTTCCCTTTGATGCTGGACGAACAGAATGCAACAAAAATTCAAAGCGAATTGAAAAAAAGACTGAACACCATCTTCAGCATTGACGTGGACAAAAACTATCCTAAGCTATGGAATCAGTTACTTAAGGTATAAAGAAGAAAAATATTTTGAGTTAATTATGCGTTGCTAACAAGTTAGCTTATAATTTGTCATGACATTTACTCATTCATTTTCTTTAGAGTAATGCAACATTTTGTCACACCCGGACGAGAGCTTTGGCGTTTGTTCATCAGAGCTCAAATTACTACATGTATTCGCTAAAACACTGCGCAAGGGAATCAGACGTATGGGGTTTACAGACAAGTTTAGGCTACACAAGGACGTCCTCGAATCTGTCTTAAGAATAAAGCACATTCAACACATATCATGCATGCCTACATTTGTGTTTCATGAGAAATGCGTCTGGTCTATGGCAATTTCATTTTCGAAATTCCAGATTCAACCAGGCTACAACTCCGGAAATGAGTTCCTTAAATCTTCTGCACCTTGGTTAACAAAATGAAGCACAGAGATGTTGCTTCATCGGTGAGTAAAATACTGGATACAAATAAGGACCCGGTTACCTTGGCTCGTCAATGCACGGATAAAGTTGAGGAGATATGCAACTTCTTCTTTGACGCCATGAGAGAAGCCAGTGATCTACGGAAAAGTGCGGAAGAGCTTGTGAGTGACATCAAAGATGGCAGACACGAGAAAGCTGACTAACTGCTGAAAATACTGTCCAGCAAAGGAGACTTCGTCGTGCGGATGGGAAGCACTTGGAAGTTGCTGGAGGTAAACCTTAGAATAAGTAGCACGGCACAGCTACCAGACTCACGAGCCACCAACAAAACATAGCCATGCTCATTTTGTAAAAATATGCAGACACAACGAAGTATAATCATCATTCATTTAAATTGAAGAAAAAATTCCTGGTGCCCTGTATTTCCTGAAAATAAAAACAGAAAAATTGGTTAAGAAAATATCACTATCGCTGATTCCATTAACCAGATGACTGCGCTGATTCGTCAGAGTAAAAGGCTGTCTCAACCACGTTATTCGGAAGCTGAAGAAGCTCTACGCAAACTGACCGAGGGAACACAGGTGATATGTCAGAAACTCAGGAGGCATCATCAAGAGGTTGAAGACGCCGTGTTGGAAAACCACGAGGATGTTCAGATATCGGCTAAGTGTAGGGAAACATGCACAGAAGCTGTCCAAGCACTGGATGCGGAGTTGGCTAAACACCAAACTGCAGTAAGAAACGTAGGCTTTCGAACTCGGGTCTCGATCCATTTATACAGCTAATGG